GGGGGGGGGGAGGCCAATCCTCAACTGTTGGTAAACGTTCAGTCCCGGCCACACCAGGTCCTCCATCGGCCGGAGCGGGGCCGAAGCCAAACTCCTCCCGGCCATGCTGGCCATACTGGGCCCTCCCGGTCGATGTCAAAGCCGTTTCTTCAGGCCGAAAACGGGCCGACCGGATTGGATTGCCGAGCAAAATTTGGAAGAGATGATTAAGCATTGCTCATTGGCCCATTGATTTTATTGTCCGAATACTCTTCAGTGCATGCTATTATTATTTTTTTCAAAAGAATTTCTAGTTCTGGTTCTCAGCCTTTGGTTTCCAAATATTGGTGCACCGCACTGAGAATTATCACCTGACATCTGCAGTCTTCCAGTTGGAATTTGCTGCATGTCTAAATGCAATTGAAATTGCCTCCTGGCTTTTGAACAGGGTGCCTCTTACTAAAATTGTAGGGATCCCACTATCCTTTGTACAGGTTCTGTCTGATCATGTTATCGCTTCTCTTAAGGCAGCAGTATCAACACTGTCATTGTATCATGTTTTTTTCTACCTGACATGTTTACAGTTCCCATAGATCACGCTCTAGGGCAGGGGTCTTCAAACTTGGCCCTTTTATGACTTGTGGACTTCAACTCCCAGAATTCCTCAGCCAGCGTGCCTGGCTGAGGAATTCTGGGAGTTGAAGTTCACAAGTCATAAAAGGGCCAAGTTTGAAGACCCCTGCCCTAGGGCTTAATTTGAATGTGTCCCAGGATGTTGAGAGAAAACATTTCTTTGGCTGAGAGGAACATGTTCATATTCTAGCTTGGACACTTGGTTTCCTGATTTTCGCTCTAGCAAAAATAATACAGGTTCTCTTCAAATTACAGCTGTTCGTTTAGTGACCAATCTGAAGTTACAATTTACTGATAATCGGTTTTCAGACTTATGAGCGTTGCTGCATCCACATAGTCACATGATCAAAATTTGGCCACTTAGCACTGGCATGTACCATGTTCTGCTGAAAATAAGCCCTAGATTGATTTTTATGTGTGCGCCTAATATAGCCCTACTCCCAAAATAAGCCCTAGTTTGGGAGCGAGATGCACAGGTAAAAAATCAAGCCAGGGCGGGGGGGTGTGTGAAGCTGCCCCATGCGCCCTGCATCCACTTACCTTAGGACTGCCGTAGCCAGGCCTCCCATGCCTTAACACCTGTTGTGCTGACTTTCTTTTGTGGCCGCTTGTGGCCGCATGCTATGTAGCGCATCGCGCCGGTGCTGCCATTCGCGGCAGGAGGTCACGTGGCTCGTCAAGCCGATTGTGCCACCACTTGTGATCAGCGTGATAAGCCACGCGGCCTCCTGGTGCTAGTAGCGACACCGGCGCAATGCGCCACGTGGCATGCAGCTGCAAGTGACCGCAGAAGAACTCGGGCAATGGCGTGACATGTATTGAGGCACCGGAGGCCTGACTACGGCATTCCTAAGGTAAGGTTTAGGGTTAGGGTAAGACATGCACCGAAAATAAGATTTGGTGCCTCTTTTGGAGGCAAAAAAAAATAAAAAAAATAAGACCAGGTCTTATTTTCAGGGAAACACAGTATTTATGACAATTGCACTGTCCCGGGGTCATGTGATCACCATGTGTAACCTTCCCAGCCGGCTTCCGACAAGCAAAATCAATGAGCGAAGTCAGATTCACTTCGTGACCAAATGATCCACTTAACAACTGCAGTGAGTTGCTTAACAGCGGTGGCCAAAAAAGTCATAAAGACGGGGGACAAAACTCACTTAACACTGCCTTGCTTAGCAACGGAAATTTTGGGCTCTGTTGTGTGCCTGTAAGTCAAAGACTAAGTATAATCAATTTAAAGAATGAAAATGTTGTCTCTGCTAATTTCAGGACAATTACTGAGTGGGCAGAATCCCGTGAGCGAGGTTATGGAAAACTTCAGGCAACTAAAATGGAAGACTACACCTTTAATGATTTGGACATAAAAATAGGTTTCCCGTACCTTTATTGTCATCAAGGAGATTGCGAGCACATTGTTATTATCACAGATATCAGGTAAGGCACTGTTTCCTTGCAGAGTCTCTGCCAAGAGGGATACTACTTGGAATTTGAGATTCTGTTTCAGTTCTTCCTGTGTTAGCATTGCAAAGGGGGTTATTATCTATAATTATGCTTTGTCTGCTGGTGTTCTGGGGAATCCATTAACTTTTCATCTCCTCCCCACCCACACCACCATTCTGGACTTAGTAACCATGTTTGATTCGTGCGGGCTGATTTGCGTGTGGGAAAATATTTGAAAATAATGTAGATTCTTTTTTCCTGCTTCACTTCTACACACCCTTTCTCCCTTGTTTGGGCATTGGCTTTCTTTAATTGACAGCTGTGTACTTAATCTGCAGCCTTGGTTGCCTTGAAACAAATAGTATCCATTATTATAAAAGTGCCTGACTCTCTTTCATTGTATTAGTTTAGACTAACCAATTTCTTTCTCAATCTTTTACCTTGCAAGGCTTATTCATCGAGACGACTGCCTAGACAGAAGCCTCTATCCCTTATTAACCAAAAAACATTGGCTATGGACTAAAAAGTGTTTTGTGTGCAAAATGTACACAGCCAGGTGAGTAATAACACAGATATTTCCATTGCAGAACGTAAATCTGAACAACACACAATAAGAATCAAAATCACTGCATCGAATGCTGGGATTTGAAATCTCGAAGTTGCCAAGTTTGAAAGACACTGAGATAGCATATAAAATAGGCTTTCCGTTCAATTTGTTACATTTTAGAGCAGTGTTTTTCAATATTGCTAACTTTAAGTTGTGTGGATTTCAACTCTGTTTCCTTCAGGAATTCTGGGAGTTGAAATCCAAATATCTTGACATTTTTTTTCTTCTGTTCACTTTTCAGAGATTGCCTGCAGTTTTCTTGGCAAGGTTTTTCAGAAGTGGTTTGTTATTGCTTCCTTCTAGGGCCCAATCCCTCAGTTTCTAGCCTGATGCCTTAACCCAGGGGTGTCAAACTGCCGACCCGCGGGCCAGACGGGTCATGTAGAAGCCGTGCCCACCCCATTGTCGGCAATGGCAAAACTCTCCCGATATGTTGTGCGACGTCACGTGACGTTGCGAGTTTGACATGTCTGCCTTAACCACTTCACCAAAGTGGCTTTCTACCTTAAAGTTACCAAAGTTAAAAAAACACTATTTTAGAATATATCTTGAGAAAACATTACTGCTTGAAACACACCGAGAACATAAATAAATCAACCTTAAACATATTGATTATTATAGCAACTGTTTTGTTTTCTTCTTTGTGCCCTTGGAAACTGAATTTCCAATCTGAAGATTTGATACAATTAACAAACATTTCAGGCAGGTAATACAAATGAGATCAGTTTGCAGTTAATTGTTTATCTAAAATTAGCATGAGAATCCATGCTGCCAATATTATTTATTTATTTTGGAATCTCTGTGTTGTCTCTGACCCATAACACCAACCAAGTAACGTTTCTAAATAAAAGGAAATGATAAGATTAAAAGTAAAACAATGTTGATTTATTGTAAGGGGCCAAATGCTTCATCTTCCTGAAATAGTGTGGGTTGCAAACAGTTCTACATATTTACTATTTTTAGTAAAAAAGGAGCTTCTCACTTTAAAGAATAGGACAGGGCTTTTCAACCAGTGGTACAGGTACCACCTGTGGAACATTGGCACCTGGCAGGTGGTACGCGACTGTCCTAGAAAAGTGGTAGCGGAGGAGGGGAATGAGCTGAACCGGTGGCAGCACCGCACAAACCTGAGCGAGAGATGGCTGGAGCTGCAAGGCTGTCAGGCCTCTGCGGAAGCACCAGGATCAGTGCTTCTTCAGGGCTGTCAGGGCTCAGTGGAAGCGCCAGGATCAGTGCCAGGCTCCAGCTGGAGCTTGGCGCTGATCCTGGCGCTTCTGCTGAGCCCAGAAGAAACGCCGATCAGCTGGAATGTTGCAGCCTCTCCAGAGTCTTGTGATTTACATTCAGATGCTTGGCAACTGATTCATATTTATGATGGTCACAGTGTCCCAGGGTCATGTGAAGTGACCAAAACCTGCTGCAACCACCCAGCAGAACGGGGGGAATAAAAACCAAGCACCCCCCACCCCACCCCCGCTGCCAATCCCCAACAGAAGTGCTCACAACAATGAAAACTTCGGACAGGAGGAAGAGCGCCGCCGGGCGGGCAGGCAGGTGTCTTGCTTGGCTGTGGCTTGGGGGGCACTTTTTTCAGTGCCATTGTAACTTCGAACAGTCATTAAGCGAACTGTTGTAAGTCGAAGACTACCTGTACTTTATCAATTTTTTCCCTTTTTTTTTTTTGGTCATCAAGTTTTTGACACCTTGCTAGGTGACTGGTGGTACTCGGATGTTGCCATATCCTAAAAGTGGTACAATGGGTGAAAAGGTTGAAAAGCCCTGGCATAGGAGATGTCTATTCATAGAAAATCCCTTTCTATTAGCTTCATTCTAGATAATCTTCTCTCCTTCCACCCTATAGTTATTTAAGTGGCTGCCTATCTTAACAAAAGTAACCCTGGTTACTTACAGTTGGTTTGAAACATAAACACAAAGGAACAAAACAAAACTAAAGCCAGTTTGATGTAATAAGTTAGGTGCTGGGTGAGAAAGCAGGAGGTTGTGAGTTGTATATATGAAAGTGGGCTAGGTGACTTTGGGCCAGTCGTATTTTCTCAGCCAAACCCACTTCATAGGGTTATTGTGGGGAAAATAGGAAATTGTATCAGGTATGTTCTATACCTTGACATACATACATACATACATACATACATACATACATACATACATACATAGGGAAATATAATAATTAAAAAAACCAGCTCACTCCAAGAAACAAACCAACTAATGTACAGCAGGGCTGCAGTTATAATTAAATACCTTGGATGCCAAGTCAACAAAGAAAAAAAAGCTAAACAGTGCACCACCAAAATGGTAGATCAGGTTGCAAGATAAGATCAGCATATTCAGATCAGATGTAAGCAGGCTAGTACAAATTAAAGAAAAGAAGCTGAAGAACAAGAGTATCAAAGAATATTTGATCAGGAAATATTACTTAGAAACGAAGAAGATTAAGGAAGTCTTGGAAATAATAAAACTACAAATAATAACTGTAGCCAAGATCAGCAGATGCAAAGCTCGAATTGCACGTTACAGGCAGTATTTCAGTTCATTTACAATCAATCCATCAATGAAGAGATTACACAGTGAGCTAGCCAATACCTGACAAAGAAGAAACCGTGCAATTCTGGGTGCAGTATGGGACAACCCAACTATCCCAAGCCCTTGGGTAGATGGATAAAACTGCCAAATCCTGATTAACTGCCTGCTTGACTGTGCAACCATAAATTAGTAAGCTCCATTCATTTTAATATTTAGGAACCTTTGCAAACAGGAGTGTTTAAATGTGCATTTGGGGACAGAGGCAAGCATGGTTAGAGGTACCCCTGAACATGGGATGAATCTTCATTGTGTGGCAATCTGTGATGCTGTGGTTTTATGATTATAATAGTATAATTGTGGATTGCATGTATTTTTGATATCAACAATTTTTGATGTTTTTGTTTAAATTACAGTGCTGTTATATGTATGTCATTTGTAGGCTGATTAGAGTCAGAAATTAATGAATCTTCAAAGCAGCGAATGAATGAATGAATGAATGAATGAATGAATGAATGAATGAATGAAGTCCTATCTTCACAAAGTAACCTTCTTTGTATTGCACCTTACAGGTGGGTAACGAATGAAGACAGCCTTGCTCCACAAGAGCCCTCGTTCTTTTGTGATGTCTGCTTCCAAACACTGCATTATGATGCAGATGGCAACAAGTTGGGAGTGTTCCTTGCCTACCCTTACGTTGATCCAGGGATTTTCAACTGAGCTGAAGAAGAAAGAAGATCAAATAATATGGTATCATCTATTTTAGTACCCGTTGGAACATGAATACTGTGATTAAGCATTGGAGAACTTTTTTCAGGATTTCTGCTTTATGTTTACACACACACACACACACACACACACCCATGTATTCCATTTTATTTTTACATATTGATCCTTGTCCTAGATATAGTTATTCATAATCTTACTTCATTTCAAAGGGCAATGAAAGCTGAACTCTCTTGCCTTTACACTAAGTATCAAAACTGAGGCATGTCAGAAAGTCAATTTCATCTCCCTCATATAATCCTTTCCTCCAGAAGAATTCCTTGGCGGAGAAAAGACCAATGATCAGCGTGGTGTCCCTGCTCCAGTTTGCCATCCTGGAACAATGGATTCTTATTCGTGTTTGTATTATTTGTTTTTTGAAGGGCAAAACAGAGCTTTTTGAAGGATATTGTCACATTGTTGGGTTTTTTTTGTTGAGTTTTAATATTAACTTTGTTAATGTTCTCTGTATTTTATTTAGCAACCATTTTTTTTTATACTAACACAGCATTTCAGGATCACAAAATTGAGTTTGATGCTTGGATTTCTCACAGGTTGTGGCTAAGAGTCTCTTATGCTTCTCTCTGTGAGAAATTAGGCATTGCTAGGTAGATGATATTGCTGTGCGGCCACAGTTAATCCTGCTATTTCACATAACTCACTTCTTTTGAGAATGCATGTGCATCTCAGCTGCACCTTTCAAGTATATTTATTTAAATATAAATGGATGTGGGGACCTTTTTTTAAAAATAACTTGCCTCCTTGGACTATTTTCCTAATTTCCTTTCTATCCTTTCTGTGGTTCTCTTGCCACTAGTGCCTGTTTTTTTTCCTCCCAAACCATCCCATTTCCTTATTTGTCCTTTATTCCTTCTCACTTCCTTTATACTTCTTTCTCATAGGCATTCCCCATCTATTTTTCCTTCTGCTCTTCCAGGTTGCCTTCTTGATTAAGTGCAGAACCTTTGTATAGCCTCTGTGGATATCCATGACCCCCAGATTCTTTCCATCTTACAGATGTTACGCCATATGTGCTGATTCTTACATTCATGTTTAATATATTAAACTGTGTGCAATAAAATGTTTTGTAAAAAAAAAAATTCAAACTTGGAAAAATCATCTCACAGTATCATAAGGATTAAAATATATTTTTGTAATGTTATGAAAATATCTTTCCAAAAAGAGGAATGCCGATAGGATGGTGGCATTGTCCTATTATTGCTGAAACCATTAAATAGGGCAGCAACCATTAAATTAATCTCATTGCACAAGTCCAAGATTCGTTGCTTTCTGCCCTCAGGAAGCTTGATCATGACTGTGTCTTGCAAGGAAGCCATTCCTTCAGAAGCTCTTCCAAACCTCAAGGACTCTGTGAACATAAATTCCTGTTGGTTGAGAAAGTGGAGGGTCTTATCCCTTGGTTTGTGTGCCAAGAAATCTGTAGTTAACGAGTCTCGCCCTAATGGAATTTCTCAAAGAACTCAACAGCAGCTACAACGTTGTTATCAGTGGTGAAATAGTAATTAGGTCTGATTGATTACACTTTGGCATTTTTGACTGCTATACTGCAATTCTACTTTTTACAATCTCTTTTGCCTTGCAGCCCCCAACTAGGGATGATAAGCAGGCTCAAGTTGCAACTGCGAAACATTTACAAATCCAAATTTCTTTTTCTGACAAAGAGTTAAAGAATTAAATTGGGAGACTTAAATGGCCATCTTAGTCTCCCAATTTAACTCTTTAACTCTTTTAACCTGTCAGAAAAAGAATATATATCTCTCTCCCATATTTGGGCCGACATATAATATATATGTATATATTTCTTTGTGTGTACATTGGAATAAGTGCAATTTTTTAGAACAATACCGGCCCAATTTTTTCATTAAAGTTTTAATTTAAAAGAATGATACAGCAGGCCACAAATATTTGACAATAGTTGTGAACTGCCCTGCTGAAGAGGACTAGGTAGGGTAAAGCAGAGCAATAAAAATGATGCAGAACGCATTAATGGAAAAGGCCACTATAGTTCACTGATATTAGAATAGTGGTTAGCAACATGGCGCCTGAGTACCCGTTGCACTCCTCCTGAATGGAATGGTTTTAGACCAAATTTGTTAGCAATAGCACTTGGACTTATATACCGCTTCACTGTGCTTTACAGCCCTCTCTTAGCGGTTTATAGACTCAGCACATTGCCCCCCAATAATCTGGTTTCTCATTTTACCAACCTTGAATGGATGGAAGGCTGAATCAACCTTGAGCCAATCAGAATCAAACTGCTGGCAGTTGGCAGAACTAGCCTGCAATACTGCATTCTGTACCACCTCGGCTCTATGTTTATGAACTCCTGCAAGAGTGTGATTTTTTTCTTTTGCCTAGGATCATTCAACCCTATTAAGAGTCAGAAAAAAATTCTGACCCCTATACTAAAGAAAGAAAATAGAAGAGTTGGTCCTTGTTTAACAATCACTCACTAGCAACCATTCAAGCCTGCAATGATGCTGAATGAATGATACTTGTGACTGGTCCTTGGGGTTCCTGCCACCATGTTGTTCATATGGTCATCATTTGTGACTTCCTTTGCTGACCTCTGACAAACTATAGATAAGCCAGCATGAGTTACAAATGGTAACCATGTGAGATCCTCACCTAGATTGATCTGCTTCATGACAGCAGCAACCCAGAGTGCTGGAATTGCTGTTGCTAAGACATGCAATCATATGATGTCCTTTCTGACTTGGTTGCTTAGTGACAGAAATTCCAGTCCCAATTGTCACTGTTAACCAAGGACTACCTGTGGGGCCTCTCAATGATAAGAGAGCAGTCAAATTTGTGATGTATCTATACCCACAAAGATCAGAATTGTGCAAGCCACAGTATTTCCCGTGATACTTTATGGAAGTGAAAATTGGACTTTGAAGAAGCAAAATAGCAGGAGTGTTGATCCTAACTTTGGTGTTAGAGAAGGCCTGAGAATACTATGGACAGCCAAGAAAACTAACAAATGCATCCTCAAACAAATCAACTCAGAATTTTCATTCAGCCTGGTCCAATTGACCGCACTCAAATTATCCTACTTTGAAAACAATATGCAAAGACCCAGCTCTCTGGAAAAGGTTCTGATGCTGGGAAAGGTGGACGGAAAGAGAACAAGAGGACAACTAGGAGCAAAGTGGATGGACCCAGTTACAGTGGTGATTAGTGCATTGTTGGAAAACATGAAAGACCAGGTTAGGGATAGATTATCATGGAGAAAATCTATGTAACTTCTAGGACTCAAAAAATGACTTACTGGCATATAATAAATCAGTGGTAAGAAAAATATGAGTTACAATCACCCACAGTTCTAGATCCCAAGAACATCCCAAACAAGTACATGCTTCGGCATCTGCAAGTCCATGGTATGAACTGGAGAACTAGGGCTTGCAAATAATTTCTATCAGATCAGCCGCTATTAAAGACTACACGGTTACATTGTGTGCATTTGAATTTTACACTGACTCGGTTGCCTCCCAACCTTCACTCCTATATTGAATGTACACAATGAACAATAAATTAGATGGAAAACATTACAACTCTAATTCCACCAATCCCAGGAGCTGCCATGGAACAGCTGGGTCTAGTTTGTGTTTAGTATTTAGGGAAAAAATGACTCCTCTGAGTCTCCACAACCAGAGGACCCAGCTGTCAAATTCTAATTAAATTTTTCTCCCACCAGCTGTGTATTTGTGTTTTGGCAACTTGTTTAATGACGTTCTCATTTAAGTGGTCAAATATCAAAGCCCAGATTGGAGCAAAATAATTTTTCTTCTCTTCAGATCTGGTTCATTACCATGGGAGAGACACTCCATTTTGGTTTGACTCAACACATTTGTGCTGTGACGATTTATGATTAGATGTTCTCCATCCTTAAAATGTGTTGGATATCGAGGTAATTTAAAACAAAAGTTTAAATTCCTATATTGGTTGAAACTGAGGAAGGGGCAAAATAATGCAATGGGGACGAAAGAACAATGTTACAGTAATTGCCATAATGAAACTTTCTGCCTGAGTTTACAAAGGTAAATGCATGACTTATAACTGAGCATTGTAAGATTGCATTCCTTGTATATTTTTTAATTCATAGAACTATATTCAGACTTTTCAGCTAAATGCATTATTCTTCTTTGGGACTTGGTTAGAGTGTGGCTTAATACTACTTATCTTTGAACCCCATAATACTGGTCACACCTGCTTCTGTTCCCATCCTCTAGAGCAGGGGTGTCAAACTGCCGGCCGCAGGCCAGATGCATCATGCCAAAACCGCACCCATCCCTTTGCAGGCATGGAAGAAAAGTTGCAATACGTTGCGACATGTCACGTGACATTGCGAGTTTGACATCCCTGCTCTAGAGCAGTATTGCTTAATCTCAGCAACTTTAAAATTGGTGGACTTCAGCCAACATGCTAGAAAATTCTGGGAATTGAAGTCCACATATCTTAAAGTTGCTAAGATTAAGAAACTCACTCTAAAGTGCCCTAATTAATTTCTTGCTTGAATACATTTTTATGGCAATTTATTTGGGGGGGGGGGGGAAGAGTTTGCAAATTAGATGCTTCTAGTTTCAAGCTAAAGCAAAAGTTTCCAGAAAGTTTCAGCAGCAGCAGATCTTTTTTCTGAATGTTGCATTTCTAGATTTATTTCATGTTTTGAATAAATATGTTTTGGGCTAAAAAGCATTCCACTCACCCCATAAGATAGCATGTTTCTAAATTGTCCAAATCTGTTAGGAAATTAGTTAGGAAAATGGGACTTTTTTTTTTTAATCCAACTCTGCCACCTTGATTCTCGAATGTCTAGAATCCTCCTCCCTCCACACTTTTCTACCCAAATCTATTATTTCCTTGGTTTGCAAGAAGCAACACAACAGTTTAAGTATTTCTACACAATGAAAGCTCTGCTTGGGCAATCCCTGGGTACAGAGAATAATTTCCCAGCAAATGTTGAATCAGAACATTTCCCCATGGAAATGAGTAAGAATCAGATCAGCCTTTTCTCAGCCTTCATAGTCTACACAAATTTTGGGGCTAGATTATCTGACGTGGAAAAAAGAAATGTTGCCTACTTGAGGATATCTGAATATTTTGTATTTTAAGAAACTACTTTTAAGTTCTGCTGTTTGGAGAAAAGCTTTTGAATGGCAGATTGGAAACAATTCCAGAAATAGGCTTTTTTCAAATGACAACTGCTTGCGGTTTTTCCTCCTATGGCTTTCGGTTTGAGGGCTTGTGTGATTTCAGATTTTCTGTACTGCAGGTGTCCAGAAGATGATAATAATATACAGCACACATTAAAAAAAAACAGGCAGAGTTTCAATCACATCGTCTTGCTTTTCTTGACCCTATCCTGTGGACCGGAATGGAACAATTGGCCACAGCTGCCTGGCCCTGCCGCTTCACCCTGGCACCCCTGGCCCAGATGACCCACCGCAGGTGTTCCTGCCCGGCTGCCCCTCTTCCCTCCTTGTGACCTCCATGGATACACCTGCTACACTGCCTTATTTGTGTCTTCAAACCATCGTTGACATGCGTTTCTTGCATTGTGCTTTCATTCAGCATACTGCAAGCTCTGTTGGGAGGCGGTGGGGGCAATGAAAAGTTGCAAAACTTAACAATTAGCACTTTTATCATTGCAACCTATGCTTTTGATGGAAAAGTCAGTTATTAAGCAGCTTTCCCACTTATACCCAGCTACAGCAGATCTTAGGTGGTGAAGGATTACATTTGTTTCCTGACATCTAGCCAGGAAGTAATACTTGAGTAGCATCCTTATGTTTTACCTTTCATGTAGGTTGGGCTGAATGGTAGACACCAACAAGTTGTCTTTCTCAGCTGTTCATTGCAAAATCCTTATTAAGTCTGAATTATGTAATTGCCATCTGAAACCTACCAATTTTTCTAGTCAATATATATTTAATTTCCAAAACTGTAAGAGAATTTGATGGATGTTATATTTAGGACTGTTTCTGTGCAAAGCCTGATGCCTCTGAACTCATTATCTTTATATATCCAAAGGGAAAAGTTAAAAACATAAGAATGCTACTCAAGT